TTCTGGGAGGAGGATCTATAGCTTCTTGTATACAAATGTTTATCAGTTTATGTCTCAAAGAGTGAAATTGATATCCCTATCTTGCCCTTTGTCTTGGTATATTGCTTGACTCATTGGGATGCCCTTTTTCTTCAGTCACCCTCGCTAATGTTTTCCCTAATTTCTGTCAATCTATGAAGCTTTGTTCTGTGTATGGTATGTGCTCTCTGCCATCTCTCCCCCTCTCCTGTTTCTGGACAAATATTTCGGGCTGGAGAATGGCTTTAGGATGTTAATATTCATGTGATGTTGTACACAGCTGAACAAGATATGCTGTTTGACATTAGTGTTCAAGTATCGTTGGGCTCTCATCGTTTTTTCTTTAATTTTATGTTTTTTGTTTGCACTTTTGTCTTCCGTGTAGTAATTTTCTCTTTGACAACAGATGTTCTGATTTTACTTGTTTTTCTTGTTGCTAGGATCCGGTACTTTGCAGCGTAACTGTGGGTGTTTCCCATTTTGAAAGGTGCGCCCTTTGGGTTCAAGTCTTATACTACCCCTTTTATGGAAGTGCTCCAATAGATTATGAAGGTGACTATGCCGAAGAAGATCCGCAAATCATGAGACAAAAGAGAAGTTTAAGGCCAGAACTGGGAGAACCTGTCATTTTAAGGTGTCAACCTTACAAAATTCCGCTGACCGAGCTTCTTTTGCCTCATAAGATCTCCCCCGTTGAATTTTTCCGCCTATGGCCCAGTTTACCAGCCATAGTAGAGTACACTGGTACATATACTTATGAAGGAAGTGGCTTCAAGGCTACTGCTGCACAGCAGTATGGGGCATCTCCTTTCCTGAGTGGGCTAAAATCCTTGTCATCCAAGCCATTCCACAGAGTTTGTTCACATGTTATCCGAACAGTGGCAGGATTTCAGGTACTGTCTCTCACTCTCTACTACTATTTTATTTGCATCTCTCTTTTGTTATTCGTTGTTTGCTTCTATTATGGAAATTCTACAGACTGATTGCGAATGTAACCGGTAAGCCAAACTTGGCAAATCATGGCCTTACTTTTCCTGCTAAAAGCTGGAAGAAAGAAAAACTTGTAAAATGCAGATGTAACTTGGTCATCAATTATAATAATCAATGTTACTTGGAAAAGTAGAATTGGCAATCAAATTCGAGTAGAAATTATATTCAAGTATCCTTGATTTTCATCTCTCCCAGACCCTGCGTAAAGCGGGAGCCTTGTGCACTGGGTACGACCTTTATCCTTGATTTTCATCGAAATTAAGCTACTGGTATTTGGCTAGATGTTATTTTGGTAAAATTATTCAATGGTAGTGCTTTTGGCCTTCTAATCAACCACACAATATTCATGTTGAATTCTTTGTCCTGAGACAGCTGTGCTTTGCTGCAAAAACCTGGTACGGTGGCTTCTTGGGCCTGATGATCTTTGGAGCCAGTGAAGTGAGCCGAAATGTTGACCTGGGCGATGAGACTACGACCATGATATGCAAATTTGTGGTTCGAGCTTCTGATGCGTCAATTACAAAGGAGATAGGATCAGATCTACAGGGCTGGTTGGATGACCTCACAGATGGGGGTGTTGAGTACATGCCTGAAGACGAAGTGAAGGTGGCGGCTGCTGAGAGGCTTAGGATCTCGATGGAACGGATAGCTTTGCTAAAGGCAGCCCAACCTAAGAAAAAGATTCCGAAATCTGATGATGACGACGACGAAGAAGAAGAAGAGGACGATGAAAGCGGCGAAGAAGACGAGGATAAAATGAAGAAAAAGAAGGAAAAGAAAAAAGATGGCGAGGAAAATGGGAAACCAAAGGGACCTACAACCCTGTCAAAGTTGACAGCAGAGGAGGCCGAACACCGTGCTCTTCAAACAGCAGTGCTCCAAGAGTGGCATGTGTTGTGCAAGGACAGAAGTGCTAAGGTTAATTGACGGACCGACACAAATCTTTTTCCGAGTGAAACTAACAGCCGGGAATTTCCTTCGCATTTCGCGGCTCAACACGTTTGGGATATCAATCAACAGAGTTTAACTTTGCTCCATGCGGATTGCATCCAAATCCACCAGAGTCATGCGCTTGCACAAGTGAGTCTGGAGTGGTTAGTGAAGGGGGAGCTACTTGCGGGGGTTGTGACAACTAACCATGTGTGTAACTCCAAGGTTTCCGAGTGCTTGGCAGATGCTTGCGATATCCACCGGATTTCTTCACTTCCGGCTAAATTCAACGGTCACTTGCCTGGGTCTCGTGTGCTTCATCACACCTTCAATCCCGGCCCGAGCATTAACAGAGGCATTCAAGTAGATGTAGATGTTAAATTTTAGGAAATCAGTTGGTTTTTGTGTGAAAATTGTAACTATTAAACCGGGGTTTGTCTCTCTTCCCCCCCCCCCCCCCTAATTTGTTGTTTAATTTTATATTTTTCTGTTTCTTGGCCCATTGCTCATATCGAATTATACAGGAGAGGAGAGAGGTTGAGTTCTTCTTCATATTGTAAAACGACTTTTATAAAATTTGAGAATTATGTATTTTCATTCATACCATGCATTCCAATTGATTCCTGATTACGTTGTAAATCGAGGTTTGAAGTAAATTGAAAAATCCTATAATATAATTTATAAATCATTGGACTTGGCGAGGTCCTTGTAAATAAAATGAGAATCACCAAAAATTTTAGTGTATTGAGACATATCAATCTTGTCGTCTGCGTATATAACACGATGAATGATCACACCACGTAGAGATGTTTATGATACCAAATATTGCCGAGAACCACGCACATATTCGGAATAAAATGCAAAGGAAACTATTTGGGTTTAGGGAACATTAAATAATGGGCCGAAACAAAAACCTAACGATCGGCCTGCTTTGATTTCACGCAAATAAGCCCAATAAAAAAGTTGGCACGATGGTAAAAAAAATGATTTTTCGTTAAAAATGAACAATACCAAGAATGTTTCGTTAAATTTCTCTTAAATTAAAACAAAGGTGGATTCATACTCTGATGACGACTAAGACTATGCATCATTCATTTTTGGCCGAGTCAATGCTTATGAGTCATGAGGAGAAAATAGAGATAAAGGGAAGGCTGTGTCAAAGTTTTAACCAGTCAACTAGCAAGAGTTTTCAACCACTGCAGCCGTGTTTGGCGGGCTGGATGATAGGCTGGTCGTTGTGAGCTTTAAAATAAATTTGGGTCCAGTTTATTGTTTATTGTGTCTAAATTTGAGACAGGTAAGACTAGACATAATGAGTTATGGTTCACAATACAGTGTTTTATCTAACATATCTGTTTCTTGGCCCATTGCTCATATCGAATTATACAGGAGAGGAGAGAGGTTGAGTTCTTCTTCATATTGTACGACTTTTGTAAAATTTGAGAATTATGTATTTTCATTCATACTATGCATTCCAATTGATTCCTGATTACGTTGTAAATCGAGGTTTGAAGTAAATTTAAAAATCCTATAATATAATTTATAAATCATTGGACTTGGCGAGGTCCTTGTAAATAAAATAAGAACCACAAAAAATTTCAGTGTATTGAAACATATCAATCTTGTCGTTTGAGTATATAACAAGATGAATGGTCACACCACGTGGAGATGATATGATACCAAATATTGCCGAGAACCACGCACATATTTGGAATAAAATGCAAATGAAACTATTTGGGTTTGGGGAACATTGAAATAATGGGCCGAAACAAAAACCTAACAGTCGGCTTGCTTTGATTTCACGCAAATAAGCCCAATAAAAAAGTTGGCACGATGATAAAAAAGTAATTTTTCGTTAAAAATGAAAAGTGTTTCGTTAAATCTTTCTTAAATTAAAGCAAAGGTGGATTCATAATCTGATGACGACTAAAACATATGCATCTTTCATTTTTGGCCGAGTCAATGCTTATGAGTCATGAGGAGAAAATAGAGATAAAGGGAAGAGCTGTGTCAAAGTTTTAACCAGTCAACTAGCAAGACGTTTTCAACCACTGCAGCCGAGGCAATGCTTATGAGTCATGATAGGCTGGTCGCTGTGAGCATTAAAATAGTTTTAAGTTCAGTTTATTGTTTATTGTGTTTAAATTTGAGACGAACAAAACTAGACATAATGAGTTATAAGTTCACAATACAGTGTCTTATCTAACATATCCTTATAGATGGGTTACAATTCCTATCTTACAAGTCTCTATCAATACAATTATATTTCTAAGGTTTAATCTCATCCAGCTCACCAAACAAACCCTACAAGGTCACAATTCCAAAAGAAGAAAAAAAATTACAAGATGTGCCACAAAACAATGCACCGGCTCTTTGCACTCAAGTTTGAATTATTTTCTTCGTATATTAAAATCGTTTAAAATATTACATTGTCAGAAAAAATAAAATTGCTATTCATAATTGCACCAAGTATGAACACCGTTTATGGTACTAGTGGTGAGCAGTGTGCAAGTACGAAGAGATTTATGTTGAATTAGTTAGAGTTGTACTACAGATGCAGTTCAAGTGCAAGTACGAAAAACTACATCTGTGAATCATTTGTTTATATATTTATATTGCTCTTGAACTGCATTTCAGCTCCCCGTCTAATTCGTTTCTAACTAATTTATTCTAAAACCCTTAGTATTTGCAAATCTCCCTTTACGGTTTGGTGGACTGGATGAAATATGTTGTGATAAATTAAAAATAGACTTGAATCCAGTTCGTTGTTTGTTGTGTCAAATGTGAGATGGACAAGACTGGACATAATGAGTTATGAGTCCACAATAGAGTATTTTATCTAATCTATTCTTATACATAGGTTACAAGTCCTGTCTTACAAGTCCTTACTAATCTAATTATATCTTAAACCCTAATCTCATCCAACCTACTAAACGGAAAGTTAATACGCCACTTGTGGGATTGGATGATGCTGGTTCATCAAGAAAAAGATTGAAAAGGAGTTAATGTTGCTATCCGGGTGACATTTTCAAACCCAGCTCACATCCACCAATAAGGCAATTATGATTGTGGTCCAATACAAAGACCATCAGTTTTTGAAAAACCCCCCCTTCCCCTTCTTCCAAGCTGCTGCTGTTGGTTTTTTTGTTGTTGAATTCAACAACAAAAGTCCTCATTTTTAATACAAGGCCTCAGGATACTGTGAAGAGATAAATAGAGACAAAATCTACAACTCCAACTGCTTGCTTTGTTTTGAACTACAGAATTTTTAGTATTCCTAGCATGAACATTATGCCTATACTCGCCTGTTGTTTCGATGCTCCTTCTTCCTACCCTCTGATTCTGCTGATCCTGATCCATTACAGGACTTTTGCGTGGCGGATTTGAGCGCGTCCGGGGCAGTTAACGGCTTTCCCTGCAAACCCGTGTCGAACACTACTGCAGATGAATTTTTCTTTGATGGACTGAGCAAACAAGGGAACACAAGCAATGTCTTTGGGGCGAAGGTAACAACTGCGAATGTCCTTGCATTTCCTGGCCTCAATACTCTTGGGATAGCAATGAACAGGGTTGACTTTGCCCCCGGCGGTCTTAATCCGCCTCACTCGCACCCTCGTGCGAGTGAGTCGGGCGTGGTCATCGAAGGGAAGCTCCTCGTAGGGTTTGTGACAACGAGAAACGTGTACTACTCCAAGGTTTTGAGTGCTGGGCAGATGTTTGTGGTTCCACGAGGACTCGTTCACTTTCAGCTCAATGTTGGAGAAGGTAAGGCTCTGGCCTTCACTGCTTTCAACAGTCACTTGCCTGGTTCTGTTGTACTGCCTTTAAATCTGTTCACTTCGACGCCTTTGCTCCCCGACCAAGTGTTAACTAAGGCCTTCCAAGTAGATGAAGATGTCATCAACGGCATTCGATCCAAGTTCGGGGTTTAAAATACTTTGAATTTAATTTGGTTATTGGTTTTTGTTTTGGTTCTCTCTTCCCCTGCTTTCTGCTTTCTTTGTTGTTGTGTATGCGCATCGATATGTTTCTAGGTCAGTTGGTCACCAACGGATCATACTTGTTCATATTCTACTTAAACTGAAGACTAAAACTTTCACTTTCTTTCGAGGTATGCCACCGGTAGGTGTAATTAGGCGTCTCCGGCCATGACACCATGAGCCGAGGGAGGCGAAGGAGCTGAGTTTTTTTCTTTTGAGTTTTTAAGATACAAAATTATACCTGAATTTTTCCGCTGAATCTGAACCAGAAGTTCGTGACACGAAGAAATATCATGTAAAAATAATCAGATATATTATAAATAAAATCTCGAGAGCAAGCACAAGACTTCTGTTACACATTTGAACGAAGCTGTTCTAACATATTTTCTACGGGACTAATACAACAAAGTAGAGTATAATATTATCTAGTCAGATGATACGTACGACAATTAGATGCATCTCCTACGGAATAATCACATCTGCCACCAATTACGACTTGAAGAATTATCCCCTGAAGTTACGTTGCTCTATCGAAACTACCACCAACCTGCATATGTAGCCATTCGGGCTGTGAGCTTTGGGCGTATTCCCTTGGTGTGTGCGAGCTGAATAACAACGCCGCAGCATCAAATGGCTGTGCACCAAGCTGAAACATCAGGTCAACCCATAAGAAACTCATATAGCATATACCTAGAACATAGTTATCTTTCCGTGCATGGAAAGAAACTTTATTCATAAAAAACAAACTTACTCAACCGATGAGACGGTAAATCATTGCAATATGAGTTAAAGGGATGAGAATATACAGAAAAGGGACTGTGGTCCTGGGAAATAGGAGGCAGCATGATGGTGATAGCATTTAAATTCGAAATGGGAAAACGAAATCAGTACTTTATACTTCAAGGGAAATCAAGGAGTAAGAAAATATGTCATCGCAAATAATACAAGAGATTTCCTGGAATCTTTATGCATGTAGCATGGGTTAGGTTATGGAAAACGATGAGCCTAGAAGTGCCTTGGCAATGCAATAAGAAACGCACAAATACAAATCTTGGAAAACCAAGAGCAACACTGGTGTCCAGTGGCCAACTTTACAACAAGCACACTCCTTGGTTGACAGAAATTTACATTCCTTGGATGCATCCCTAAGATTAATAAGTTTGTACAAAAATAATTCCCTAGACAAAGGTTTAAAATTGACAGGTTGTACCAAAAAAATCCCGAGACAAAGGTTTACATTCTAAAAAGCAGTAGTATCTTCAGAAATCTATTGAACCGGAAATAACAAAGCATCTCAAGGATTACATATTGGAAAATAGTTCCAAAAAGAGTAGGTCCATGGGTTTTATGAAGGTAATAGAAGTGCAGAGTACTTACATCTTTTGGAGGAAACGCTTCAATTGTGGGATTCATGTTCACCCTTGAATTGACTGCTTCCAGCTTCATCGAAAGGAACTACAGAATAGAATAACCAGATTACAGTCTTAGGTTAATCAATTTAAAGCAAAACCATGTGACCAAGTAGCACAAGATAGAGTCAGAAGGAATAGATACCTCGACCTGGTGCTGCAGTGATTGGATGTAATTAATAATCTCATCAAGGACGAGTGCTTTCCCAATAACCTTTTCAGAAAAAAAGTACAACATGTGTAAGGGAAACATACTTGGTGAAACAAAATTGATTTCAGAATTCAGATCACTAGATAATTACCCAAGATGTTTAGAATAAATCTTGTAATAAAATTGGAAACAACATATTACATAACAAAGATTCCCAATACTAACTACATCGATCATATGCTCTAAGTAAATATTATGACTAACATAAAGACAACTAAACAACATCGAATACCTTATTGCATCCGGGAACCAAATCTTGGAGAACTTTCATCCTTTCGCTGATCTTCTCTCTCCTAGCCTGCCAAAATGGGTATGGTACGCACAAGTTGAAAGAGTGAATGAATCACACTGATTTACCGAACATGTCAATAAAACAGAAACCTATTCCCTAGCGAGATCTACAGAGCTTGATTAAGAACATGTAAACCGCAATTGATGTTCTAGATTCTAATATTGTAAATTCAAAAGGACCAAAAGTGCATTACTCTCTCGGCTAGACTGTGGCTATCTGTAGCTTGGCCCCTTCTTGCCCTCACATGGATATAGTCTTGCTTGGGTGGCTCGGAAGGTTTAGTGCTTTCTTCAGCTGGCTTGCTGTCGCCACCAGCTGAACTTTCTTCAACTTCAGCCTTCAAATTGTCATTTTCATTTCTGGATACCGCTAATTTCATCCGCTTACCCAAATCTTTCTGTTCGATAAACAACAATACAAAAATTCAAGAACAAGCAAACAACATACAGGCAGGCATCATTAACTGAAAATCATGCAGCTTAACTCGCTTAACGACGCACATCACGCCATTTCCGGATGCATTAACATTCAAAACCAAGTCTTTACAGTATATAGATGGCTGAGATAGCACAATCGCAATTACACAAATTAACCGCTTCACGCAATTATTTGCAACAAAATTTTCACTAAATTAAGTTCAAATATAAGGACCCTTGACTTAAAAAATTCGTTCTTTTTCTTATTATTTCCATCCATTTTCCACAATCTAGCTAATTTATGAAAGCCCACCAATAAAGTTCATTGCTTTAGCATTAATTTGCAACATTTTCTCAGAAACCAAACATAAAATCGAGCCAAGCAATCAAATTTCACGTAAAAGAGTGAAAATTACGAACCAAGCCATTGCCACTACGAGTGGAAACCCGCTTCGAAGACTCGTCCTCATAGTTCACATCCCTTCTCTTCCTTCCACCACCGCCGCCGCCGCCGCTTTGCTCAGTCACAGTCGATTCCTCCAACGACCCATCTCTGTTCACAGAGCTATCTCCAAGCCCACCCAAACTCTGACCCAAGTTAACCACTCCGAGCCCCAACCCGCCACCGCTGCCACCGGGCTCGCCGCTGAAGGGCCAAATCTCCGCCAGGCTGTAGGATGCTGGGTTAGCTACTGAGGAGGAAGACTCGTTGATCAGTGGAGGATCCATTTTCTCAACAACCCGAACTCATTCGACCAGAACCCGAATCCAAAACCGAAGCTTGAGATACCAACCGAGAGAGAGAGAGTAACGAGTGTGTGAGCTTTTGAAGAGCTAGTGCGTTTAGTGAGCTGATGGGTTATTTAACAAGTGATTTTAGATAGAGAAAGATTTGGTTTTTAGAGAGAGAGAGAGAGAGGAAGAGCATTAATGGACGAAGATGAAAGTTAGAGAGAGAAAGGGTGGGGGAGTGGCAGCAGAGGGTGATCCTTTTGACTGGGGCTGGACCGGTGTTGTGCGCGCAGTGCGCCCACTGTGCATTTAAAACCCCACAGCAGGACGCTGAGAGCTGGAGCCTTTATCCTAAATTTAAGATTATTACATAATTTTAAATGACGGGAATTAAAAATTATGGATTTTCTTGTTTGGTTAACTTTAAAGAATAATATAATTTAATACCGTTTGTTATTTCTAAACTCTCAATCATAGAAATTGAGAAATGACATCTATTTAAATTTAAATTTGGAAATTAAAGGTCCCAAATTTCAAGTTTTTTTTTTTACATGAAAATTCTAAATTTCTATGTTTATAAATCTAAATAAAGAAAATGATGCATGTCAAGTTTATTTATTTCATCCAAACATAGCATTTGGCAATTAGGGTACTCGCTCTTTTGCAAGAGACACGTGGCATGAGCATTGTTCTTGGGTTTTTTATTAACTTATTATTATTATTTTTTTGTTTTGTGCGAGTTGCTTAATTGGTTGATCTAAACCAGATATGGGATCAAGTGCCCAACCAATACATTATTACAAGGAAAGTAGAGATCAAAGGATCCAAACCCGCCTGTATTTCAAATAACTTAATATTCCACTGGCTTTATTTCTTCATTTTCGAAAAAACAACATTTTAATATAATTCTGATTTACAGTTATCTTAGTGTAACAAAACATACACATTATTATGACCATGTTGATCAGATCAATTAACCTAATTTACATATGCATACTTAAAAACATCACTAATTAGATTTTTATTGTTTCAATCTATTCTAATTGACGTTAATTAGGAATCAAATTTCGATGCATGTGTGTTGACCAGTTGACCTAATTTTACATTTGAGCAATTTACAACCATGTTGAAGTAACGTGCCAAATTTCCGTAGTAAATGCAAATTACCCTATTTAAAATAGTGCCTAGAAAGTGAAAGCAACTGTTCATGTGTGGAAATTTTCAAATTGGGGAATCATATTCTCTTTCAAAGAGAGCATGGGTGGTAAAAAACAAGGGTTGGTGGAGGTACTTGCAATAGTGAACAACACAAACCCTCCAAATTTATTGCTCAAAGAATTTTATGTTGGGGGAAAAAATGCTTTTCTCTTTCTAATTTCCTTTATTTTAAGAGCTAAGTAGCTTGGATAATTGGAAATATAGCACCATCAATACCTAACCCTTCTTTTTCTCATTTGTCACAAGTATTAATGGTGGTGCCTAACTTGCTTAGCAAAAAAATGGTAGCAAGAATAGTTACACTTGAGAAAGTGTTTTTGAGATTATGTCCAAGATAGTTTTGTACTTTGCCAAACTCATGTGCCTTTGTGGAATCTTGGGCAGTTGCCAAAAGTTGACTTGAGTGGCTTATGGCTGGTTGGAAGTACTTTTAAAATAACTGAAAATGCTTTTAGATAAAATACTTTTACGTTTCGAAAGCACTTCAAGTACTTTTTTAGGATTCATTTGCACTTTTGTTAAGGATTTGTTTCAAAACATTTCCACTAAAAACGCTTTCAGTTATTTTAAAAACACTTCCAAATGAGTTAATTTTCCTCTTAAAAGCTCCTACTCCTAATTTGGTTATCAAAACGTGATGCATTATCATGGATTTGCCCATTTGCCCATTTCATTTTCACGTCCACCTCATACAATGTTGTACCTGCCTCACTTCAAAACCGATGTCTATTTCTCAAGAGATTTACATGTACACTCTCTAAAGTTATTGTAGCGTTTCAAGCCAATAATATAATATTATGTGTTTTAATTTCACATGACATCGCTCTATTGTTCTGAAATGCTACGGTGGTGTACTGAGAGGTGCAATGAAGCCTTCATCCAAATTTCCATGAAGCAACGAACTTGGCTGTTTTGAAGTTGTTGCAGGACAATATTTGGGTTGCTTGAAGTTGAAGTGCCTTCATAATTTTGAACAGAAATGATAAACGTAGACAAAGAAGAAAACAGTACAAACTGTACCATGCCAACTATTTTGTGTAAGAACTTCAACTTCCTGTTGGGTTGGGAAATTACCAGGTCAACTTTATTCTGCAGTCCCTAGTACATGGAACTGTTACAAAATATGTTCTGCTACCTTTGCTATATGTGGCTACTTTGTCAATGCTCTAGAACAAAATCTCTGCCCTTCTGCATGTGATTGCCGTAAAATCTACCGCACTCGATTTCTTCTTCTCAATCATTGTTCCTTCTACATTTTTGAGGTTTTTTAGTATGAATCGAAACATAGTATCGAACGGAAATCTCTAACTGTTGAATTATCAACCGCATACTCAGTCATTCATTCACCTAGTATGGAACATAAGAGTAAATTGTAGCTGTGGTCCCTTAACTTTAACTTAATTGGAGCAATGGTCCCTCAACTCATCAAAATGTGCAGTTATGGTCTCTCAACTAAAAATACATTACCATTGGTCCTTTTAATTTTAATCCAATTGTAGCAATGGTCATTTCAACATAACTCGTTTTGACAAAAACTTTGACGTAGTTGACGAAAATGACCATAATTACACACTTTGATGAGTTAAGGGACCCTAATTATATAAATGGTTATTCCAACATAACTTATTTTGACAAAATTTTGATGAAATTGATGAAAATGACTATAGCTACACATTTTGATAAGTTGAAGAACCAATGATAATGGATTTTTAGTTGAGGGACCATTGCTACAATTTGATTAAAGTTGAGAGATCATTGCTACAATTTACTCGGAACATAATCTTTAATTGTTGAATTCTCAACCGTACACTCAATCATTCATTCACCTGGTCAATGTTATGTGCTTGGTCCGTTCTGTAATTTTCGCTCCATCCATACTAAGAATAGAAGGTTTATTTGCAGAATTATCATTTCCAAAAGTTCCATTTATGCCCATCAAGATTAATAAGTGACGGATTAGTAACACCTAAATGAGGTGTTTTTTTTACCTTTTTTTTTGGGTGAAGAGGTTTTTTTTTTTCCTTTTGCCGAGGCAGTAATCTAAACTACTATAGTTAATAGGAAGAGAAATTCGAACTTGGGAGAAAGGGACCGAAAAATCCGTCCTTAATCAGCTGACCTAACCTATATGTACATAAAAATGGGAATTTCAATTTTATGCCAATGCAAAGTAGTTTAAGTATTACAGTTTGTGTTGATGTTCACTAGGAAATCCAACGCTCAGATTTGCTTGGATGGAGAACGGGCCAGTTACTCACTCACTGCCATCAGAAATTGAATTCGGGCTGGGGATGGCATGCCCAAATTTGAAGTCCAAACTGATAGAGGTGAAAAGACAATTTTAGTCCATCCAAATTATTCAGGACTCCCTTTTAAAATGGTCCCATGCCTCCACTTAAAAAACTACTATCTAGTTGATATTTCTTCGATTGTAAGTGAAATGTCTTAAGTTCGATTCTCGTTAAAAATAAATTTAACCTACATTATTACTAGTCAATTGTGAGGTTGAACCCATTCTCCACCCCCATATCGTTTGTTCAAAAAAAAAAAAAAAAAAAAAAATTGGAAAAGAAGAAGAATGTCCCATGCCCTACTGTTTGCTGGAACAAAAGTCCCCAATTTACAAGCAAGAGTAAATGATTTGGGGGGTAGGGGGGTGTCCTCTTGAGTCTCGGACCAAGCTACCAATAATATAGGATGAGATACAAATACAATGTAAGTTTGGAAAACAGAACACATTTTTGGATATGATGGATTGAGTTCTACTTTCCATACTTCTGTAATCATAATGCACTAAAGATCCGATGAGCGAAATCTGTTTTGTCACCGGTTGTATAATTATGCGTTATACCTCATGTGACACGAGAGAGATACGTGATTGTTTAAACCGGTAACACCTAAGAACAAAACGAACACAGAAAGCGAAAAATGTAACACATATATTTATGGTTTTATAACAGTGATATGATTACACTGGAAAGAAGAAGAATGCAGGGACTTAATTCTTGAGCTTTCCAGAACTTTCTTCCTACCCTAAAAAAAGTCTTAAACTTTTCAGATTTTCAGTCTGCTCTTTGTACGGTGGTCTTAAACAAGAGGATGTACAACTTTTGATCCATTGAGAAATACAGAAACCCACTTACTGAGTGTGTCACAAAAGACCCAAAACTTGTTCCTACAATGCAGTGCCATGCTGGCCCATATACCCCATCAAATTCCTGCATAACAATTACCCAACCCTGTCATTTGCACATAGACGGACTAACGACTCACTACTAATCACACGCACAGCAAATGTGAGGTTTTATTACAAAAGATCTCGGTGCTATTAGTGGTAGAACCATTCATTATATAATGTGGTTTTGAAGTGGGACTTTTTGAGTTCTTTAAACCCCACAAAAACAATTACCACCTAATCATAAAACTCACAAAACCCATATCACATAATCACCAAAAACCTAAGCAAAATCGAAAGTTAACATCCTAATCATGATAATTAAGCTCATAATTAAGTTACCTTCTTGAGAGTCAAAGCAAGAGTCTTGGAGGTGAACTTTTCCAGGCTATCATGTGTCTTTCTTGCACACTCCACTGCATGGATCTGCATAAATGGTGGCATATCAGCTGAAACAACTCTCACCCCATTACTTGCTAACACATCCGCCAACTGCACCTGCGGCTCGGATAGGGATCTCCTCCTTCCTCCGCCGCCGCTCCCGGCGGACGAAACCGACAGCCTTCTCCCGCTATCCAACTCCTTCTCTTTCTCAAAATCCACCAATCCCTTTTGAGCTTCCTTCTTCTTCACCACGACGACGACATCCTTATTGGGTTTTCTGGATTTTTCCGATTCCTTTGTTTTCTTGCTCTGTTTTTCGATTCTGGGGTCGAATGATTTGAGCTGAGGATTCGATTTGAGGGAAGACTTGGAGGAATCCATGGACGCCGACATCGATTTGGCCTGCAAACGAGTGTCCATGAGGCTCTGAGAAGTGCGGGGTCGTTGAGTTGCGATGAATCTTGAGGTGGGGTTGGAGGTGGAAGAGGGTTTAGAGGGCAGGGAAGGAGGATCTAGGTAAGTGGAGGGCTTGGAATGTTTTGGCTCTGTCGCTGCTAGCATGCGCCGGTGGGTGGCGCGGTCGGACATGGTGGTGTTTTTTGGGCGGTGGTGGGTGGACCGTGGATGAATGGGAGGAAATGGGAGGGGGGGGGGGTATGGATTTTGTGTTGATATGCTTTTGGGTCAGTGGTGGGGTTTGGGTGAATTGGGACTTGTGTGGTGAGATCTAGTCACTTTTGAGTTCTAAAATGCGCCGTTGGCGGAGGAAAAGGTCGGGAGGGTCCCTAGTGATGTTTTGACCGTTGACTCACCCAACTATCTAAATTCGTATGGGGTTTTAGTGTTGCCTAGCTAGGGCAAACATTTTTGGGATCTTGTCTCGTAATTTTAGCATAGCGGAAGGAATTTGGGTTGCTACCCTACAAATTCTATTTTTTGTTGGAGGATGTCTCAGGTTTACCTTATAGGGGTGCGAGAATGATTTATATTTGTAATGAGTTGATACTAAGTTGTAATTAGTGTGCCTAAATGTCTACGTCATGGTATTTTTTGCTAAATTAGTGTACTAAAATGTCCATACCTAAATATATTATAGTGAATTAGTAGCACATAAGAAAATATGCAAAAACATAATTGTACCGAAAAACTCCGTACCTAAATATATGATACTAAACTAGTGTACCGAAATGTCGGTACCTGAATATATTATAATAAATTAGTGTACCGAAATGTCCGTTTCTATACATATTATACTAACCTAGTGTACCGAAATGTTCGTACCCAAATATATTGTAATGAATTAGTGGCACATAAGAAAATATGCAAAAACATGTGTACAAAAAAATCTTTACAAAAATATTTTCTTATATACGATACTTACCATAATGAGAATTAAAATTTATAATATTTTCATATAATTTAATTTATGAACACCATAAAATTATAAATAAATAAATAAAAGAGACATTTAATATGCTGGCATTAAATAGAGTTTAGGAACTAAAATCAATTTTTAATCTTGTATAAGATATTTTTCTAAATTTCATCTTATTTAAGGATTAAAATCTAGTTTTCCATATCTTTATAAACGTCATATGACGTTGTTTACTTGTTGGGTAACTTTAAAGCACAAGATATGACCTCATACAAAATTAGTTAATGAAGATGGATTTTACTTAAAAACTGAATAATAATACTAATAGAAACAATAAACTACATTAAGTAGCTTTTGGTTTTGTCATAGCTGTCTCCACTTAGTTGAAAGCGGTCTTAAATTTAGCTCAGAAATGCTATGATGGCATGTATTTGTGATGAATTCGATATATAATTGTGGCTATACTTGTCGAGAGATTACTAACTCATTTATTATAGCCAGCCCATTCTAGCGTCCAAGTTTTGTTGTGGAAAACACTGTAGTTTCTCAAGAATGTGTTCCATAAATTCACCAAAATTATCAGTACGCATGTTGCAGGCTAAAGAAATTCAATACAGCTTAATTGAACAAGCATTACCAATTTACAAAGATACAAGGAGACATGAAATTTTGGCCGTGCCGGGGACGACGAGGAGGAGGAAAAACGAAAAGGGATGCCAACTGAGACAGTTTTCTGATCCTTGAAAGCCCCCCGGATTTGAATACAAGGACGACAGGGCCATAGATATCAAATATCGATCAACCAGACACTGGTGTTCAAAAAAGAGCCCCATTGTAAACAAGGGGAGTACACAGCCCGATTCTAATTCCATGGACTTGGCAATCGAGCATCTCTGAAAGCAGAAGTGCCGCCAGATGCCGCAGGGGACGGAGAGGATGCCATGTAATTTGTTCCTGATACGGATAACGTGGGTAGATTTGCAGGATGCCCCAGTTGCCCTATGGGAGCAAAGCGTGATGGACTAGTACCGGTTGCCCCTAAACTTGCTCGAGAGGGGTGTGGAACCTGCACAGAAATTTGATAACTGAAAATGAGTTCACGAAATAATAGCAAAGCAAAGAAACATCAATTGCAAAATAGTTCCTCGTATTTCTAATCTCTCACGAAAACTGCTTTGCTTGTCCAACACTTGAAATTCAAAAGATTCTTAATTTATATGCTCCCACAAGATAATAGAAAACCATCAACACAGTAGTCGACACAAATGAAAACAAGAACGATTACGTTGTAGCAGAAGTAGTAACCAAAATGCATTACCACATTGTGCTGAATATGACCTGGCCTTCTGAGAGGAGACTCTGAAGATGGGGATGTGCTGTTCATCCGGAACATATGGCGAGATTGAATGTTATGATTTGAAAGCTCATCGCTCTCAACCCCTTCCATCTCAAGGTTTGCCTCCGAGCCCACCCTAGCAGCAGCGTGCCTAGTCATTGAACCGGAGTCATTTGTTACATCCACTTGAAGTGATACAGACGGGCGAACCACCACTCCTTGCATGGAATTTCGTCTCTTTAACTCCTCCTCTGCATTTAAGATCTGTAAACCAACACAAAAGAACTCCCTAGTATCGATCCCTCCCAATGTTAACATAAACAAACACACAAATCGACTATGGACCCAAAACTTACCTGCTTCAACACTTGAACTAGATTATGTTTCTTTTGATTCAAAACCTGCAGCTTCTCCTCAACTTCTCTTTTCCTCTTTTGATTGTCACTTAACTCCTCCTCCTCCTCTTTGTTGCATCTCTATCATATAAACAAACAATTGCAGTTACTAAACACAAATCGAAACTACACTAAACAGTTCAGCAAATCAAAATGCACATCTCTATCATATAAACAAACAATTGCAGTTACTAAACACGAATCGAAACTACACTAAACAGTTCAGCAAATCAAAATGCATGCTTGTGCTGTATAGATTTAAGTTGTTCTTTCTCCACACATTACAGTTTAAATCCAATTTTCATACTCCAGTTTAAGAACACAAACCCATAAAAATGCCCAATTCGAAAACAAAACTTTCCAAACCAATTCAGAATCCTATTGAAAACCAGATATAAATACACATATAGATGTAGATATACCTCAGAATTAGGGTTTTCCACTTCATCCAATTTATCAACCTTCACAGCCAGTGAACTCGCACCAACATCCGCAACATCCGACTCTTTCTCAATCAAATCGGGCTTAAGAGCAGGCGGCGAATCGGACTCACCGCCGGATTTCACCGCAGAATCAGCACCGTCCGATTGCTTCCCATCCTTCTTCTCCCCGGACGGCCCAGCTGCGCAATCATCATCAACATTCTCCGGCGCTTCAAATTTAATCGTGGGGTGAGACAAATCTCCCGCCTTTGGAGCTTCGTTGAGCTGGTCCAGGACAAAATCAGGGTCAGGGTTAGAGGAGGCGGCGTCGGGGAGGGCGGAGCGGAGGCGGGAGAGAGCTACAGAGCGGCGGGTTAAAAGGGATTTGAAGTCCTTGAGGGAAATCTTAGGGGTTGGCATAAGCCACCGACGCGGTACGTCGGGAACTCTGTGGAGGTTTCCTCTGTACAACGAAATCGCCACCATTTTTGTAGGAATTTTTTTGTTCTTCTGCAATTTCTCTGTTGCTCTCTGCTCTTTGCTTTTTTGAATTAATGATGAATTATCAGAATTAATAAATAAGTAAATAAATAAACGACTTGTAGTGAAAAGTAAACGAGGACCATTCACTAATCGAGAGGTGAAGTTAATTAGGCAGCGCGGGTAAAACACTCGTTACCGCTGTTACTTGTGGCTGTATGGCCGACTGTCCTTAATTATAGATTACTAATTTTGATTAAGATAGAATAGTTTTTTCCTTTTTAAGTAACGGGTATTTGAACGGTACTCACATGTCATGATACAAGTAGATGAAATAATTTTTTTTTTCGCATTCTTTTATTTATTATATGACACATGAAGTATCTGCTTGAATACTAATGTCTTGGAAAAGTTTCACATTGAAGTTGGTGTCTACTAAAAAGAAAAAAAAGACAAAATTTCAGACACCTTACCTGGCTCCATTTCTGCTGGAGCGGTTAAATTAACACAAATATCTTGAAAGCAAAGTCATGGTTAACCAAACAAGGTTTTTTATGCGTGGCCTAACGTTTATTGTTGGTTATCAATTAGTATTACAAGAATTGAGATCATTTTGGGATCTCTATTTCTAGAAGACTAGTCTCAATGATCAGGAAATTTAAATCATTCATTTTAAATTACGTGGGAACACAGAAATTCGAAGAGGATCTTGATTCCTATTATAAGTCTCACGTTTGACTCAGATACAAATATAATTACTTTTGGTTATTCAATGCAATTAAAACTAAAATTTCGAAGCACAAGTATTAACTACTACTAGTTAATAGTCAAATCCCCACCAAATGAGAAAATCAAGGAAACTGAGTGTGTTATGAAACGTAATTAAGGAAACAAACAAAATCTTCATTAACTAGTTTAATTGAATCAAGATCCTATATATATGTTATGAATATAGGATCTTGATTCCTATATATAAGCTAGTTCTTAGGATTTTCATCTTATATATAAAATCTTATTGTTTGCAAAATTATTACCATAACTTTGGAGTAAATTTTAACTCAATAGTAGAATGGTTCTTCCATGAGTTCAGGAAACTCCAAGAACATCTTATTCTCTCTAGCTACCATGGCTTCCACAAACGAACTGTCACATGCCGCCGATGTAGCTTCAACTTCATTTACTGAGATTGCATAATCCATGTCGATTTGGCTTTGTTGTATTGCTACTTGTGCTTGGTCCTTCGAATTCGATGAATACTCAGCCTTGTTTTCGTGTTCTTGGGCGTCACCAATTGGCATAAACGCGTCTTCAAGGAGAAAATCGCTCCAGCTAAATGCCTGCAGGGTTGCCTGCTCTTGTGTTGCAGATGAAGTAGAAGACGATGATGACAATGTTCCTTCGTGACTGTAAAAATTTGGTGCAGAAGATTGGGATTCGGTGGATTTGAAGGCTTCTGTCACCAAATTTATGGCCTCAAGCTGTGTGAGAAGATCCGGGGGTTGGCTGCCAGGTTGAGTGTGGCCCAAGAAACTGTCTAGAATTGGCTCCGCTTTGGTTGGTATCATTGTAATTGGCATCAAATGGCTGTTGATGTTGGAAAACCCTTGTGCTGGCAATGAGTATGGCTCTGCTGGCTTCATCCGCATTGCGTTCCTCAAGTCCTTGTTGAGAGAACTTATCCCGATTCTCATTCCAACTTTCTGGACGCCACCGATGTTTCCATAATCCGCTAAGATTTGAGAGAAGGGCTTATGAGTAACATGATCAATTCCCATTTCTGAGAGCTTCTTCTTCAGCTTAGTGTTCCAGTAGTTCTTTACATCATTGTCTGTCCTCCCAGGAAGGTGTTGAGCTATTGTTGGCCATCTGCACCACAAAAATCATAAGAAAAAAAAACCCTTATACTTCTTCAAACTTAGGCACTTTTGGTTGTCAAAAAGCACTTTTAGCTCCTCCAGAAGCAGGCTCAAATAAACAAACCTTCATAAGCTTTCTCTCCAAAGGGTAAATGAGATCTACAAACTATGATAGTTGGAACGGAAGACAGCACAGATCGGTTCGGAATCTCGGATACAATAAAAAACCAAGACTAATGCAGTGAAAATTTTCTTCTTCCAAGATCAGCTAGAAATTTGCATAAATACTAACCTGCTACCAATTGTGGCATGAAGCCTGACAATCAATTCCTCCTCATGAGGCGTGAAGGATTCATGCTTCAGATTAGACTTGAGGTGATTAGTCCACCTTAGCTTGCAGCTCTTTCCACATCTTGTAACTCCTGTAAACACTCTTACATTAGGTTAATTAATTATCCTGGAAATGCACTATTTAATCCAACAGCACCCCCAGAAACCCGGTAACGAAAGAATTTAGAGAAGAAAGCATCCGAATTAATTAACCTGTTTTTTTGGGAACAGAAGTCCAGTTACTCGGTCCATACTTCGACACATGCGCAAGTATCTTTGCATCTTCCTCCGCAGTCAAAAGAGTGCCCCTTTTCACATGCAGCTTGTCACCACAAGCAGGTCTCACCATCCTTATTAATTATCTGTGTGATTCAAAACTTGCACATGAAATCATAAAAAGGAAAAAGATTGAAAAGAAAACAAAAAGGAAACGATAAACAAAAGTTGTCGGATTTAAAAGAGAGATGAAACCGATTCACCTTCGTTTAGTTCTGCTTATGCAGATGCTCATTGAGAGAGGTATGAGATGATATGAGGAAAGGTACTGGTTAAAAGTATGACAAGCATGGAAAGGCAAGAAAAGCATGAGGGTTTTGCTTCCATTTAACTAAGTTGCATGATGAATGACATCTTCACGTACATTAACGGTAATAAAAATCAGTCTTTCCGTATGCTCACATGCTTGGCTCCTAGGGACCCTTTTGAATCTGGTTCAAATTGGGTGAATTATTTGGTTAAACTTAGATTAAATCCAAGTAAAATAGCATAGTTAATTGATTATTTAGATTAATTTGCCTTGGTGTAAAAGGAAATGACTACTGAATACTGTTTTAGTTTGTGATAATCACAAGTTTGATGATTCTAACTATTTTAAACAAAAGGCTCAACTAATTAAGAAACTATAGACTTGATGAGGCAGAAAATTATAGAATATATAGCAAAAATATGTTTCTTCTTGAATTTACGTTGAAATCAATAAACCAGTAACGCTTTATGTAAATATTTCTTCAGATGGTCAATCAGAACTATTTTTGGGAGTTATGTCATTAATTTGAATCATTTTGTGTGTATTTAAGGGGGTTTAGGGATGTTGTGTGGTGTTTTATTTTTGTTAAAATGTGATTTTATAGAAGAAATAAAACTCCTCCTTACACTACCGGTCCTAAGCCTGGATAAATGAGAAGGGGAAGGGCATCAGATAATCGACAGTCGGCACTTCGTTTTTACATCGAATCCTTATGTGATTTTATAGAAAGTAGAAGGCAAATACAAAAGGAGCCAAACTAGGTCTCCCGATCCCGCCACATGAGGAGAAATACAGAGGTCCCTTTGCATCAATGATGGTAACTCGGGGAAGTTGAACTGTGTTTTTATTGGTAGGGACTCGCATCCCAGCTCCTTCAACATCGATCTGCAACAAAATATTGGCAGGTGCAGTGCAGTGCAACCACCACCTCCTCATGGTGTTGATGAGGAACTTGAGCCTCACAAACCAGTAAGATTGGACATGCATGGATAGAAACGCCAAGTCACTTCACTCTTTTGAGTTGCACCTTGAAAATTAAGGTCTCGTTTGGCATGCCATATAAAGTATCAAATAGGGCAAATTGTACGGAGAAAATTGTTTGGTGTATTTTTGTATTAAATAGCCACCTGACTAATATATATTTCGGACCCACTTTGTTTTCTCTCGTACAAACCTGCTAACTAATACAGTTTGTAAAGCATTTAGTAAATTACGAATGAAATTGTACTGATATCTTTGTCTTGGTAGTAGCTCACCTTCCTTAGTGGGATGTCAAAGAATTAACGGAGTAGTCTTCCCGTAATTTGCAAGTAAGCTTACCTATATTCTTGTGACAATTCTAACCCATCAACATAAATTCTAATAATATGTTAACCAAAATCAACAACTCTAACAAATATATGTTGGAAATTATATATTATAATTAATATTATAATATTTAATTTTTGTATGAATGAAAAATAAGAGTCATGTGTCATAGTTGAATTCAAATTCATGAGTTGTATCTATTCGTTGAAACTTTAGACAACAGTCATATTGTTTCAAAAAGGGTGGCTTCAGTTCTATATAAACTCAAGCATCCCACCTGTCTAAAAGAATGAAGAGAAGAGTTTTCTCCAATGTCTTAGTAGAAATCCGAGTCGTGTCTTGAGAGTACAGAATATATAAAGTTTGCTAGAATCCGAAGATTGAAGTGCTTTGACTTCGGATTATAGATTGTTGAATCCTGGGAGATGGACGCCTATCGAACTACAAGCACAAGAGTAGGGGCGAAATTCTATCTTTAGGACATTGCATTTATGCAAGCCTCAATCTCCAAGTTTGTCAGTTTTTCTAACTTTATCTCTAATTGTTTATATTAGTCTCATACATAAAGAAAGTTGTGAATTTCTATGTGATTATTATTATTAGAATGCTTGTGTTATTTTCATATTTTCTAATATTGCTCCAACAATCTAAAGATAGAAATTTTTTTACCTCTATGGAATAATTAGGAAAAGCAAAAGGGACGGTAAGCATTAGGCTTTACTTGATTCGTGCTTTTTGCATGGTATGATTTTAAAATTTTTGGCAGTTATTATGGCAATAAATCAGTATATTCTGGTAAAGAAAGACTGAGAGATACAAATGTGTTAATTACTTCGAAGAAGATGACAATTATGTGTTAATTCTTGTGTTTGCTATATTTGTTTGTTGAACTCAAATCTATATGTTCATATTAAATTGGACATGTCTTTTCTCACTTGGTGCACGGCGGCACGATCATTTTCTTCCATTTTCAGTATATCCAATTATGAGTTACAAAATGCCAACTTTAAAAAGTTGATTGTTTTATTGTGATTAAATTTGTGTTCTGTATGAGAATCTTAT